TTTTGTAGAAAATGAGCAGCATTTTGGACAAGCTCTGGGACCACATGACCTCCTACCTCCATGAGCTGAAGGGTGAGATTCAAGAACGATTCAAGTTCAATAAGCAGCTGCAGGTCCTGATCACCAACCAGCCAATTAGCTTCAGTGGGCTGGACAGCATCCTGGAGCCGGAGTCTGACCGCAGAACGGCGAGGATACAAAGCAAGAAATGTCTTCTGCAGGTCAGTTGACATGCTTGACAAAGATTTCTCTGAATGGATAATTCCAGCTCTCAGAATGAATCAAATGATTGGCTCTTAATCTAGATGCATGTCACAGACTGCTTTGGGGATGGGTTAGTTAGGATTAGAAGGAATCTTTTAAATGATATTTACCACATTGCTCTTTTTTCCACCTACCTCCCACAGAGTATCACTGATGAGCAGAAGGGTCAGTTTGAAGAGCTAAAACAGCTGGAGGCTGAGGCCGAGTCTCACCTTAGGGAGGTGAAAAGCAAAAGTTCCACTTTGCTGCAGGCGCTGGAGGAGGGAGCGCTTCTGACAGTCGCAGCTCTGCTGAAGGAAACCCAGCAGCTAGCTTCTCAGCTGAAACACGCAGAGGAAAAAGTGAAAGTGTGTTTGCCACACGGTTTCTTATTTCTTTCCTTCTCTTGTTCAAAGCAGTTGAAACATCAGTTAGTACTGGGTGATGTGTTCCTTCATTACCATGAAAACACACAGTCTCTCTCTCACACACGCTTACAGACATCAGCTTGCTACTAGAAACCAGAGCATCCAATGATGGATTCATTCACCACCCAAACTACTCCTCGACCAATGCACTGTTTGTTTTGGTAAAGTTGAGAGCCACAGACGATAATGAAGAATGTGTTTCACTTTCAGGCTCTGCATATTCAAAATGAGCAGCTGGAGGAGGCACGCATCAAAGCTGACGCCAAAGTTTCCAACCACAAAGAGGCAACACAACTCCTGCAGACTGAGCTGCAGGACAACCGTGCACTAGTTGAAGAGAAAGAGAACGCTATACAAGCTCTGAAGAGCAAAATTCGAGAATCTGAGGTATGTTGGTTTCATATAACAGTGCAGGTGCACTTTAGTTTGGTTATCTGACTAATGAGTAGCTGGTACAATGATCTTTGTCCTTCTTGGTTCAGAAAAAATCATCACCCAGTGTGGCTGAGCTGGAGAAGCTTCAGACCAAGCTGTTGCAGTTGGAGATGAAGCTCAGCTCAGCATCCGACGAACACAAACGAGAGTAAAGAGCTATTGAATTCGTTCTTACACTTTTGTTTGTTTAGTTTTTCTCCACTGTGGTTTTCAGAGGCCAGCGGTGTCAAGACCTGTGGCCTGCTGCAGGACTGCTGACTCTAATGACCGGCATTCTGTCTTCCAGGATCCAGGCGATGAACACACTGTTGGAGGAAAAAGAAGAGTTACTGAGGAAGCTTAAAGAAACTCTGAGAAAATCCCAACAGGAGGGAGAAGAGTCGTGTAAGTGTCAGCGCTGTGCATGTATATCTGCTAACAAACAAAGAAAGCTGACAGATGAATAAGTAATTCAGGTGTAGCCATTGAAAGAGGAGCATGTTTAAATGATGCATTCATGTTGGAATCAGTCTTGCAGGGTAAGGACCTTCATGCCAGACTGACCAACCCCAGGAGTTCTGTGGTCAGCAGCAGTATTCTGATGGAGAAATCCAAGCTGGAGAAGGAAGTCAGCCAGCTTCACATGAAAATCACAGAACTGGAAAGGTAACAGCATCAGGACTGTCTTTGCAACCAATACAATCGCGACGTGGGTTTAAAGTAGAAAACACTTTGAGTGATGTTTTTACTGCTGTGGAATCATTAACATTCTACACACAGCTTGTGTTACTGTGGCTCTTCTTCCAGCTATCATGGACATTATGACTGAAATTCCCGTCTTAGCAACTGTTATTGATTTGAGTTGACTGTAACAGTGTTTGGTCGACGGTAACATCAAACATTTTAGCCCCCTCTTTGACTCAGAAACCCACTGAGTGATTAACAGCAATTCCTCTTGCTGTGTTTTCTTAATTTCTCTTCTCTACTATCGGCAGATTGTAATACCAACCTCATACGTTGCAATGCCTTCTTTAGCACACGCAGCGGGTCATTTGTAAATCTGACATACAGTAACACTCACTCTGAGGAATCCTACATTATAATGATTGGAAATTTGGTGGTGAACTGTAAAAATACAAAAGCACTGCTGCCTGTTTGTTAAAATGTCTGCATATGGCATTAAAGCATGACTAATCAAATGGGTGGTTATTTATCAAAGTCTGAAAGTTTGGAAGCAGCATTAAAACTTAATATAATAGCATTAGTATAGCATTATTAACCTTCAATCATCTTTAATTAGCTTAAAGCTGACTGACCCATTTTAAATGCATGTTGAAGTTCAGAGTTTTTATTATTTTACAGTGAAATGATATCAAATCTGTTTGAGTGTAAATCTCCATTTGTTCCAATAAGACACTTTTCTCTTTTTTTTTTTTTTGTGGTAAAGGAGTAACATTTGTAGATCAGCTCCCTCAAACAGGGAAACATTGAACTGGTATAAGATCTTGAATCTAAAACGCTACTTTCCATATTTACTTCTGTACTGTCTATGCATATGATGTCCCTGTATTGCTCCATCAATATCATCTATACCTGCACTGTACTGTACTCGCCCATCCAAATCACTGAATTCAGGTGTTCAGTCATTTCCATGGCCACAGGTGTATAGAATCAAGCATCCAAGCATGCAGACAGCTTCTACAAACATTTGTCAAACAATGGGTCGCTGGTATTAACACAAAAATGGGGAACAACATCAACTCTGCCATAAAGTGGTAGACCAAACTTCATGTGACCTTCAGATCAGCTTGAAAGAACAGTGCATAGAGAGCTTCATGGGTTTCCATGGCTGAGCAGCTGCATCCAAGCCTTAGATAAACAAGCACAATCCAAAAACATTGGTTGCAGTAGTGTAAAGCACATCGCCACCTTTTGCATTTTATTTATTTATACAACAAG